TATTAATGCGATGACTATCTGGGAAAACCTATTTATACATGTCACTTACTATCGTTTCGAAGGAGTGGCCCTTGACGTGCAATTAGACATTACGTTTTTGTACCTAATCTTTAGAATCTGATTTCAAACGGAACGCGTGCTCCACCACTTCGACGGATGTCATAGGTTAAGAATTCTATATTTGTACGTAATTACTATAACACAGATTGACTATCATGCTTCCTGACGCTGACTAGCAATCGTTATACGATGTCGTAAGCTAAATAACATAGTCACACCTTGAAAAGTGCGTACAAAATCGCGGGTAAAGTCACGTGATACACTAGAGGGCAACACGGTTGTCCAAAGCCGCGCGAAAATTTAATATAATTGCATGTAGGAAACGCCGATTGTTATGGCGTAGGTTAATGGACTGCGATGATAAATGTCCGTGAAACTTAAGTTATATCGTGGGGACGGCGAACAGAGTCGAGGAGCTACCTGTTGATTCCTCGCCAGCCTCCACATATTTATGCGTGTATAAATGTTACTCAACGCCTGTGACGATATTCCAGAAATTCAAGTACGAATTAGAACCTATATATTAAAATAGTAGGCTCATTGTGTCACAACAAATTAATTTAATTAATTAAATTAATTCTAAAATTATTTTCCAATAGTCGTACTTATAAACGCTCGTGTAAAAATTAAATGATGTAATAAATAACGTGCAGTAGTGTCGATCAACATTGAAACATTTATGCGCATGGTATTCTCTTTAATTTCAATATCAAGAATAATACTATGTGCCATATGTGCTCGCGATTAATTAAAAACGTCACAGTTAGAGGATTCATTCGATTCCTGCTACAAGGACTACTGTCACTCTTATGGAACCCTAGTGACTTTCCCTTGAAGTATTTCACAAATACCCAATAAAAGATATACTACTTCCAATCCATTAGATATCTAATTTCAATCGTCAGCTTCACTCGAAATTACAATGTCAACTATGCACTTTGAACTAATAACAGTCTATTCGAATCACTGTTCAGTCGAATACAAATTGCGAACAGGTCGTCATAACCTTCAAATCATATTTAATTATGAAAATAAGATTCTGCCTATTTCTAGAAATAGAACAGCTAAACATGTGAGAAATATCGCGTTATTGCATCGTTTTCGTAACGAAATGTTAATCTGATCCAAGGAAATATACCTTTCTGGAAATCCAGGCGTCCCCTTTGATATACGACAGTCGGAAATATTTCTCGCTGGATTCTGGAGACACGCTGAAAATATCAAGCAATGAATCATGATAAGAAGTCGTATTTGGAAAACGATGCATGATAAATGATTAATTTAATTACCTTTTGTAGGTCGCGTGGTAGATGAGATTGAATTATGATTTATAACACCGGTTACGACGTGATACTCACTTACAGCAAGACATTTTATTTAAACGTGCAACAGCAGACGAACTTCAAATTATAGCCATCCAGGGGGCAGCTCCTGACTGGCTAATGTGCTGCATCGTTTGTAAACGCCGCGGGAAAATTAAATGATTATTTTTTTTTTAATGCAGAAAAGAAAATCGAGGCAATATTATAGTGATATGTAATCAACACGTATAGTATGTTTAGCACATTTTTACGTGGGCAATTCAAATGTATTACCACTATTCATTACGCGTGCTGTGTTTCTTATAATACTAATACCTTTTCGAATCTGTAATATATCAAATATATCAAATGTTTATTTGTAATGATATAATATACCATCTATGTTCATTATCTGGAACGTTTTGTTGGGTTACTTATGTTAGAAACAATGCTTGTATCTTCAAATAATAATTGTAAATTCAAATTAATTAAAATTATTTATTAAGTGGCGCCATCGGCGGCGAAACGCTCAAGTTTGTCGTGGAATTAGTTCCCTTTTCTGAACGCTAGGTGGCACAACTGACTTGGAATTAATATATTTGTCGTGTTTTATATTTAAACATAGTTCCACAGTTTCCAATAGTAATGCCAAGCATAATGTAGAGTAATTAGCTTTGATTTATAAATTTATATTGTGTAAAAACGTGTTTTCTACAGAATCTCTAAAAAAACTCAGGGCGCCATCTACGATTAAACCGTCTAAGTTTATAGACAAATAGTTTCACTTTTTGAACGCTAGATGGACCACACAGTATATAAATATCGACGTTACAGTTCATTAGAATTTATTCACATAATCTATTTTAATCTGTTCAACTAAGAACTTGAAAAGCTTTATTATATTAAAATCTAGCTAAAGAAATGGATTTCCGACCTTTTTTTGCAACGAAGTTTTAAATAAATCTATGGTGCCATCTAGAGTTCTGAACTAGGAACTATGTGTCTACAAACTTGAACACTTTGATCACAGATGGCGCCTCGAGTTTTTTTAGAGATTCTGTAGAAAACACGTTTTTACACAATATTAATTTATAAATCAAAGGTAATTACTCTACATTATGCTTGGCACAACTATTGGAAACTGTAGAACCATGTTTAAATATAAAATACGACAAATATATTAATTCCAAGTCAGTTGTGCCATCTAGGGTTCAGAAAAGGGAACTAATTCCACGACAAACTTGGGCATTTTCCCACCGATGGCGCCACTTAATTAAAAATTTAAATATATTTGAATTTAATTATTTATCCAATACAAGCATGGTTTCCAACATATTTAACCTCGCAGAACGTTCCAAATAATAACAATAGATGAATCGCAAAAGTATTTGGTGTATTGTAAATTCACAAAAGCATTAGTTATAGATATTTATAATTTTCAATTCATCGTTGACTGTATGAGTTCAACTGAGTCAACTATCAGTGCGCAGACGCCTTCTTACGGAATACAATGGAAACAGAATCAGCTGACTCTGTCTTCCAAGCGTCAATTGCGTATTTATAAATAACGTAGTGTCCAAGTGTATCGCAGAGTGGAAGTTACTCTTCGGTAACGAAACGTTAGAATGGTAGATATGAAAACTAATGTAAGTTTCGCGTGTCAGCGGTGTCTTCAACCTCTTCGATTAGATCCGAGTTTCTATCATCTCGATGAACATACGATAGCAGAACTTTCACGTAGGTAATTTCTATTTCAACCTCTATGATTTTGTAAAAAGTTTTACTGTTTTTTTCACCACTGTCTCAGACTTGTGATAACATCCATCATTCTTAATATGTTTCATTGGCATGTTTTCTTGCGTGTGCGCGATATATTTCGTATTATCATAATCTTAATTGTCAATAGGCTATGTATATACCTCTTGGTTGTGCACATAACATGGTTTCCAGTCACGATAATTTTAATCTTTAACAAGCTGCTCGCACCTGAATTATTAATGTGTTTATTTTCGTAATATTCGAGTCTGTGATAACATTATTAGTGATTTGTGATCATGACTGTTTTTATTATGAAATCATCGTAGAGTAAGTACCTTTTCCTACCATATGTAGTACATATAAATGTTTTCATAATAGTTCCCATCCAACAACAAGTGGTGGGAGAGATAGAACCCCAAAGTGGAAGTATAGAAAATTTAGTTCCACCATTCAGATTAACAGAATCTGCAAATGGAACTAATGGATTCATGTTAGTTGGGGATTCTGGAGAAACAGAGACACTCAGTCATCACTTAAAGGTATTTAAGTACACTCTCATCACTCTGTGGGAAAAACAATAGCACATTTACTTTTCTTTAGGTACGAGCAACATTGTTTGATATTCTTAGTAGTAGTAGCTCTGCTGATCATCCTCTCTGTGATGAGTGCACAGACAGTCTTCTGTTGTTAGTCGATCAACAGTTAAGGATGAATGAAGGAGAATGGTCAGATTACAATGAGTACCTAAAAAAATTAGAAATAGAACAACAACAACAGGGACACGAAGATGTAGAAATGGAAACTCTTGCCAAAGAGCTGCAGGATGTCAGGTCAGAGGAAGAGAGAATGATAAATGAATTGGAAGCATTGAGAAAGGAAGAAATTGCAACTAGGAATGCGATAGTTGAACAAGAAAGGGAAAGGGAAAGATTACAGAGAGAAGAAGAAAGATATTGGAAAGAGTACTCGAAACACAAAAGAGATCTCATATTGGCAGAAGATGAATATCGTAGGTAATTATGACACATTGTTATATTTAATGATTTCCTTCTACTTTGCTCCCATTAACACTAGGAATTTCTTTAGTCTGGAATGCCAGTTAGCCTATGCAGCTTCTCAACTAGAGAGACTGAAGAAAACCAATGTTTTCAATGCTACATTTCATATCTGGCACTCAGGACATTTTGGAACTATAAATTCCTTCCGTTTAGGCAGACTCCCAAGTGCACCAGTTGATTGGAGCGAGATAAACGCTGCTTGGGGACAAACGACCTTACTGTTAACAGCTCTTGCTCGAAAAATGAATCTGACGTTCAAACGTTTTCGTTTAGTGCCATTTGGTAATCACAGTTACATCGAAGCACTTGACCAGCACAGAGAACTTCCTTTATATGGAAGTGGAGGATTTAAATTTTTATGGGATACAAAGTTCGACGCGGGAATGGTGGCTTTTTTAGATTGTTTACAACAGTTTAAAGAACAAGTGGAAAAGGGGGATAGTGGATTCTGTCTTCCATACAGAATGGATCGCGGTAAAATCGAGGACTCCGCAACTGGCAACTCTTACTCTATCAAGTAATATTATTCATATATATATATATATATTTCGAGGATTTTTAGTCAAAATTAGTTTAAATGTCCATCCTGTATATCTTATGAAAACTTATTTTAGAATTCAATTTAATTCTGAAGAACAATGGACCAAGGCATTGAAGTTTCTTCTGACCAATCTAAAATGGGGTCTTGCCTGGGTTAGTTCTCAATTCACAAAAGATGAAGCTGAGCATTAATTCAACATCAGTTTATCTGAATTCATTGTCTTACTATACATCTCTTTCACATTCACTTATGTACATACACGTTATTTGTAAATAAACTCAGTTAAAAGATAATCCTTTTATTTTGTGTTCAATTGATATTACTTTTATTGAACAAATTTTAAAGGGAATGGTGCATATGTTAAGAATAGTGTTCAGGTTTATTAATTAGAAACCAGGTCACACCATACAGGAAACTTGGAGGACTTTGTACCTCTTCTGAATCAATATATTTTTTCACTTCTGGGACACTCAGTTCCACCACCTCTATCAGTTCTCCTTCAGATGCAGAACCTCCTCCTGGGAGAGTATGCATTTCATCCGTAACTTCTACATAGAAAAGTGTATCCTTGCAAACTGAAGTAGAGGTATATCTGCAATCAATACACAACAAAATATATGGAGTGTACCATTAAGCATTTTTTTCGCGGTTTTGAAAGACATTTATCCACTCGCCAATATATATTGGACTTAATAATACACTCTTGACCATAGACCAATGAGCTTCCGTCGCGATCACGTGGTTTTTGTGTATCCGACATTTCTCTTTGCGGCACGATGTATATAATACTTGTCAAAATACAAAGTGCCATCTATATATTTATACTTACATAAGATCATGGCTTGCTACCAAAACAGACTACTGTCATCTACATACCTAAAGGTAGTGATCAATTTAAAGGCCTCTGCAGGTGCATCGTAACCACATTCTTCTTTGAGCTCGTCTCTCGCGATCTCGACAAGTGGTTTGTCCTTGTCGATAATACCGGCACACAGTTCCAAGGTCACACCTAATGTCGGTGGATATCGTTGGAGGTCGACTGATCCACGTTTTTCAGGAAGATAGGTGTAGAAGAAAGCAGGACGGAACTGCCTGACGAGTACGAGCTTCTTCCTGGTCGTATTGAAAACGATTATACTCACTCCGTCGTGTGCTCGTACCACGTCCCAATCTCGTTGTACACCATCATGTTGATAATATATCCGAGTAGGTCTAATCCACGGTGAGTCAGACGGACATTCTCCCACGCGCATTTCCTTCACGTCCAACATTCTCTGTCGTATACTTTCATTTTGCTCCTCTTGTGTCTTGACATCCATTTCTTCAGCAGAGTGAAAACTGATTGCTCAACTCGTGTCAACTGTTTAACTCCAGTCGGTAACGTGTCGACGGCCATGCGCAACCAGCCTGAAGATGCCGCGCTTGGTACCAAACACGCAGACTCGAGATTAGGGAAACTAGCATAGTGAATTACTGTGCTATTTTCGCGATTGGCACGGGCGATTGGGAAACCGATTCTACTTGTTTTACAATCGAATAGTAATCTCCTTCGCATATCTCATGTTTCTCTATTTCGATGTCTTCCAGGTGCAAGCTTCAGGGTAGTGTGGAGTATACAGAAGTATGGAACTGATTTGAGGGGTATCCCACTTTTTGGACCTCGTCGCTATTCATTAAAAACATTGATTTATCGTTGAAAGCAACAAAAGTTGGAAGAGTTTGGCATTAGATTAGAACCAGCACTCTTTGCACAAGTGTCAGCATATAGATAAGCCCGTCAACAGAAGGAAGTGCCCCGAGTGGTTCCACCATTTGGCATACCTTAATTCTCTTTTCGCGTCGCAGTACGCGATCCTCCTCCTTCTTTCTCTCTAGTTTTCTCTCGCGTGGTCTCTGGTTTCGACTTTCTCTCCCTTCTGCTTCTCCTATCTTTCTTCTTCGCGCTTTCTGTCTTTATGGCATCTAGAATCTCCTGTTGACGGACTTGCGTATCAACGTGGACCACATCGGGCTTCTTGCGCTGCCTGGTGACCGCCGCAGGTGGCGAGAATTCGATTTCCATGTCGGACGCGGTAGAGCTAGAGGCTACCGAGCCGTCGTCTTTGTTCTTCATGATTTTGAACTGCAAAGGCTTCATGGGTTCGGACAAGCGCGGCTCATCCTCGCCCTTTTGTTTGATGGGGTACATAGTCACGTAATAAGTCCCGTCTTTCCTGTGAATGTGAAGAGTTGGTGGGTTCTCGGAGCCTTCCTCCTCGTCGTTCATGGTGGCCTTCACCCTCTGCAAGGATTCCGACGTCCTTCTATTCCGTCTTCTCGACATGCTCCTCTGGGCAGTCGTTGCAGATCTACCTCGTTCACCAGCACCACCTCGCGAGCGATCTATCGTGGTTTTTCCACGTCCAGCCGTCATTTTTCCTGTTCTATCACGTTCTATAACCGTCTTTCCGCGTCCAGTCCCGGGTCGTCCATGTTCCGTCGTCTTTCCTCGGCTAGTTCCCGTTTTTCCAGCCGATTTCGTCGTCGTCGCCGATGCCGTCTCCTCCAGTAACGAGTTCTCCTTCGCCTCTTGCATCAGCTCGTACACGTAGCGACTAATGGCGCCTGGCTTCCAACCGATCCGCGGCTTGAGGTTACCTGCGATGGCCAAGGTGTTCCACAGCCACCCCATGTTAGCTGGTACTCTCATAGGCACGTCGATGCAGTCTCTGTGTCCGTAGTAGATCCCAGGGTAGTGGTCGCCAACGAAATAAACGAATCGCATTACTCGTCTATTGACCGAGATCGGCGGTCTGAAGTCTTGATCGCGATCACCTCCAGGTCCTGGGGAGTGGCCACTGTCCTTGCCTCTGCGATGTCCTACTGCTGCGGTAGTTTTCACGCCGCCACGTTCAACCTTTTCACGTCCACCACCACCTCTACCACGTACATGTACAGGACTGCGGTGTTTAGTGGTTCCACCTCGTCGTTTCTTCGAACCCCTCGTAGACTTCTGACCAGTCGCCGTCTTCGATGCGACTTGAGTAGCACTCTGCGTGCCATCCGTAACCTCTGCGGGTCTCTTTCGCCTGGACTTGCATCTAGGCTCACCGCAAGGACCCATCTCGGTGTCCATTAGCGCGGCCACTATGTCGTGGTCTTTGTGCTTCTCGATTCTGTCTTCCTTCTTCTCGTCCCTTTTCCTCTGTTTGGTCGACGTCATTGGACCTACCTCGGGCAGCACAGGTATAGCTTCACGTACGATTCCCAATCGAGGTGGTAGCATGAGAGCTCCCAAGGGAGCTGGTGGCACGTAGGGTAGCTGGGCACGCACGTCATCGCAAGATTTCCCTCGTTGCGTGTTGCAAGGTGCACTACATGGGGGTGGCGGGGGTGCTTGTGGAATGATCGACTGTAGCCTCTTTCTTTCGGGTTTGGGAGGTTCCTGGGGCACGTAGTCCTTGTCGAGGTCTCTGCCGAAGAAGGGACTCTCCGATGGGTCCATCAGGCCCAGTCCAGGCAGCCCTGGAACCTTCCCAATGGAATCGACGAACTCCTGCGCCTCCTGGAAAGCTCGAATCAAACAATCAACTCCCACACACGGTTCCCTCGAGCATTTCGCGGCACCAGTGTGCCACATTTCTGTGTCCTTCCCCGCACATGCACACGAGGGTTTGGGTCCAGTGGACGTCACGCGAGGCTTGCACGCGTTGAATATATCGATCAAGTTCTTCTCCTTGGACTGAGACTTCTTCACGGGTACCGTTCCGCCAGAACAGCTACAGCTGGACATATTGTTCTCCCCTCCGCCCTCTAACCGAACTTCTCCATGGTTTCTCTCGTTATACCACGTGCAATCTGTGTCGTAGTCGGTCCAGTGGTATCCACTGGGGTCTACGTAAATCTGCTCGATGTCTCCACCGCCTCTAAGTCGCGTGGGGCTGGCGCATGGTGGTTCTCCGTTGGAATCGTTGACGCAGTAGGTACCAACCGACGTGTCCTCCGTCGGTTTCCCTTTGTGCGTCGTCAGCGCCTCGGGATTTCTCAATTTCATGCAGCAAGGACGGTTGCAACCGGAACGACATTCCATGGGATGCGTCGATCGATCAGTCGGCAGACAGCAGCAAGTGGGTTCATCTGGATAAGCTCTGTAAACTAATTCCCGGAACTTAGGATCGTTGAGCTTCTCGGCTGTGGTCAGCTGTTTGAAACCAGGATCGTTTATCGAAATACGCGGCGGGGACACTGGTCGTCTCAGCGACGGTTCGACAGGGATGTTCTCGTCCCTCGAATCCGTCCTGCTGGGGTTCAGATAAGGACAGAGAAACTTCTGAAGTGGCGAGTCCTCGAGCACAAAGGACTTTCCGCTCAGACAGAACCGTTTAACGATCGAGCTGCCGAAACAAGATAATCTCAGAGCAACGGATACGTTACCAGACGTTTTGCCAGTGGAATCGGTTAGGTCGAAGGTGTCTCTTACTATGCACGGCGAGGCTAATCCGTTGATTCGATTTCGTGCAGAGGACACCTGATTGCACATGCAAGCGGGCAAGGAAATCGTCGCTGTACCTAGAACAGCTCCATTTTTCATCGTCGAGGATTCTGTTTGATACACTTCTAAGCGCAACGGCGCATATCGCAGGGCCTTGATCAAATTACTCGGAGTCTTAGCAAATATACACGATTTACCGAATTTTTGGTCGTTTTCTATCTCATCGGGATGATTCGTGTGATCGTTTTGGTTGCATTTAGGAACGTGCAATTCGTATTCTGGCAGATCGGTGAATTTCACGCAGACGATCATATCATCCGTGTTGATACTCGACGTTCCTTCGGGTTGCAGGTTCACTCGATCGATGAATACCTCGAGCATAAAGAGCTGCTCCTCTTTCGACGTCGAAGCCTTTTTTTTCAAAGCCATTTATCACTTGGTTCACTGTACGGGAATTTAGAGGAGAATCGCGAATACGCGAGAGACTTTTACTGATACGTTCGGCTGAGACACGCCATTAATTTTGTGGTCGTTTCACGGCCGATGCAATGTAACCTAACCGCTTCAACGCCTCGAATCGACGAACTTTACGTCAGATATGTTGCATAGTTCCCATAGTGACGTTGAAGACAAGCAACAACAGATTTTGTAACGGGTGGTTCAGGGTGAAGGGCACACTATCAGTGCTATCGAATTTCACTCGACATAGGATAGGAAAGGGTTAATTAACAGGTGTGAACATTTTTGTATTCACGTGATCAGAGGTGCATTTGAATAATTTTATACATGGCAGGAAATTGTGCTACCATTTCGCCGCAGTCTATAGTTCTGAAGGGCTCAAACTTCACTTTTTGCCCTTCCTCTTGCCCTTACCCTTCCTTCCCTTACCTTTCTTTCCCTTCCCCTTGCGCGTTGTCTTAGGCGGAATGCCTTTCAACTCGTCCATCGTGGTTCTGTCTGGAAATTCCGAAATGTCCTGTTCGAGACCGTCTGGACGATAGCTGGGCGGTACCAGTCGCCTAACGCAGAACTCTCGTTCCTGGTCCTGGTTTCTGAACGTGAAGAACTTGGGGTGCAGCTCGTAATGAGTCATGATGGACCTGCCAAAGCATAGCAATCGCAGCTCCAGTTCCAACGTGCCTGAAGGATTCTCGCCAGGATCCACCAGGTTGTAGACACCCTTCACCACGAAAGGTTTGGGAAGATTCTCAGCGTCGTTCTGAACCATCGCCACTTGGTCGCATAAGCAACCGGGAAGGGTTACCTCCGTCTCAGCTGTTGGATAAGTGTCGCCAATTCGAAACACACCGACCTTCATCGCCGTCGATTGCAACTCCCTCACCAGTTCTTTGGGCTGCATAACGAACATGCAACTTCTTCCTATCATGAACCTCAGGGTGCAACCCTCGTCCTCAGGGGGTGGTGGCTTGTAAGAGTAGAAGTCCTGTCGAGTAATCTCGAACACGGGGAAGTTCATGAACTTCACCTTTATCGAGATCGGGTACTCGCCGATATCTTTGATCTTGCTGTGCGTCAGGGTAACTTTGTGGATCAGCACCTCGACCATGTAGATCCGCTCGTCGTCGCCCCCGAAGCAGGACATATTGAATGCCTCTGAGGATCAGCATCGGACGCACGTGATTTGAGGTCAAGCGTAGCGCGGGATTTTTGACACGAGGAATTTTGAAGGTTGTGGCCGAAATGGAGAAATTTGACAGATGGATCGCGGTGACAGTCGAATTGCGTGTGGCGCTTTTAGTATACTCTGAGGGAGTTTGCAAGGATTCGTTCTTTTAGTTATTCATCATTAACATGTTGAGTGGAGGGAAATTCAAATCGTTCATACAGGTTCGATCATATAGTTAAAATTTCTTGTGCAATAGCTTCCGTTGACATCTGGAAAATATAATCAGAGGGCTATGAAATTTGGTGTATAAATTCTG